CCTGTACATGTTACAGTAATATATGACCAAGCAGGCACTCAAGAAGGAAACACGTTTATTAAAATTTGGTGTAAGGCACATGAGCCCAATGTTAAAAAATAACCACCAAAACTTTGGGATTGTAAGTGTAAAACCTCATATTTACCTTTCCACAATGTATGTTTAACCACAATTTAAATGTATTGTTATAAGTTCCATTTCAATGGTTTTTGTTATTACAAAGTACATGACACTTCATTTCAAATTCCTGGGAGCCATGCTAATTTTCATGAAGGGTCGACTTTTCTTTTCAGCCACTGGCTACTGTAAGAAGTTAGCCATCATCCTGCAAGCATCACTTTAACTTTTGACATGTGACTATTTTCAATTTACCTGTTACTATTATTCAATCTGATAGAAGACTCTCCTGAGTGTACTGTAATTAATTAATTTATTTGAGTTTCCATTTTCTTCAATTAAAAAAAACATGTACATACAGGGTTCTACTGTATACAGCAGTCTAGTCTGGTGAAACAATGCAGAAATATATAATTATGTGCAGGCAGCAACCAGTTTTATTTGAAATGTGTCAGGGATAAATGTAATTATTACGCAAAAATTAACACTGCTACACCACATACCATAAAATGTCAGCTCCAGAATATAAAACAGAAGTTGAATTTAACGAACAAAAATAATACATACCTTATAACCCATTTCTGCGAGTATTCGGAACTGCTTGCTGCCCCAAACAAATTCTTTTGTTAAAGGCTTTGGACCCTATAAAAGAATTGAGATGTCCTTATCAAACAGTTTCTACCAAAATGTCATGAAACAATGTGATGCTGCTAAATATTAATACCTGTTTAGGTGCATGTCCCCAAGAAGAGGCATCAAGGTCTCCATCTACCCAGCCTGGATTCAAGGAATTCTTTGGCTTGGATCCTCCCCAAGATGTGGGAGTGAGAGGAGGTTCATTCCATGAGTTCACAGCTCCTACGCCACTCTTCGATTCATCACCCCAACCAGAATTAACTGTGTCGTGAGGTCCATCACCCCAAGAACCATTCCTGTAAATTTACACATGACCATCAACACATACACATTTCACATTCTTAGAGTCTTTCCCTGAATATAAACACC